TTCCAATAAAATGATTTTTTGTTTGTTTTAATGAAAACAGAAGGCAGGGTAGACTTGGCACATGGGCTTCTTAGTTTTCAGATTCTGATGTGAAGAAAGTTTGTTGTTTAATTAATATTAAAACATTATTAATTTCCAATGAGTATGTTACATTAATTAATTATTTAAAGATTTATTTATTTAGAGAGAGAGAGCAGGGACAGTGGACGCTTATGCAAGGGCAAGCAGGGGAAGGGGCAGAGGGAAAGGGAGAGAGAATCCTCAAGCAGATTTCCGCAGATCCAGAGCCTGCGCTGGATCCCAGGACCCTGAGATCATGACCTGAGCCAAAATCAAGAGTTGGCCGCTTAACCAACTGAGCTAACCATGCGCCTCTAACTTAAATAAATATCATTTAAGCAGGATTTTTATTTTCATAGATATATGCAAAATCTTTCATAAAATGCAGAAATGTCTTAGAGATACTATTATATTTCAGGGAACTTAAGCAATACAACGACATCTAGTTGTACAGTAAAACCCAGTCTGCAAACAAGCTGTTATGTTCTAAAATTCTCCATGATCAGCTCTTGACAAAATAACACATATTTCACATTTCATCACATATTCAGTGAAGGTTGACGTTCCTATTTTCCCATGTGATTCTGTCGGGTTTTCATTTTGGTTTACTCCTGTTGGATGCTTTAAAAATTATTTGTGCTTTTCATTTTCAGGAAATGGTTTGGTCAGAGTCTTATTTGTCTTTGTATAGCTATAACCTTAACACAATGTCTTGCAAAAGTAAAGATGATAGATGATTGTCTAATAGAGAGATCTAGAGCTAGGGGTCAAGGGTGATGATTCTACATTTCTGGGCTATACTTCTGATTTCCAGTATTTTAAGTTGTTTATGTATTGCCAATTAAATATGTTTTTATGGAATGGGAACTTTCATTATTTATGTATTTATTAATTTGCCAATTTCCTCTATGATGCAGTTTATGTTATAGTTTAATCAAACAAAATTATTCCTTGAATGCAGAGCTCCAAAATAAGGTCTGCTCCCAGAAGAAAACAGTAACAAAACAGAAAATAAAAGAAGGAAATATGGTTATATATGAACAGATAAATTTTAATTATATCAAACTAAGGACTGCTGCAACTATAATTTAAAGGATAAATCTTTTAAGACAACATGTTACATATTCAATAAAACGTTTCTTTACCAGGATCCAAGTTTTACTGAGCTTGACAAAAAAGAATCTGTTATTATTTGAAGTATATGGATTAGCTAGTGTTTTTTCTTATTGTTGTTTTAATCATTATTTTAGTTTCTCCTATTTATCATTGTGATTTATGTGCACTTTTCAAACAAGAAAGACAATACAGCAAATTAGACTATTAGAAAAGAATAACATTATAAATCATACATAGCAGAAATTATTTTTTTTTATTTTCAACTTTTTACACATGTATCTATAGTGAATACCGTTGGTTGCCAACTACTCCAACCTGATTTGGGGAAATTAATCTGTTTCTCTACCAGGTAGTTCTTACTCCCAAGTGCAGGAGTGGCTTAATGGTTCTCAGCATTTCTCTTTGGCATACTTTGTTCAGATAAAATGGGGACAAATAATTATTTTAGTCAATAAGACAAAAGCAAAGCATCTTAGGGGCTCTTGGGAAAATATTATTTACTCTTAAGCACAAAAAGAGAACAAATGAACCTGGATAACTAATAGTGTGAAGCCATCAGATCAACTAATCCTTAGTCTACTTTATCTTTCTATGTATGTGTCACATGTCTTTACTATGTAAGCCTTTTATGGACATTTTCAAATTTTTCTATCTTCACGTATCATGAGTTTTTTTCCAAAACCGTTCATGAATAAAATTTAATTTGAGAAGTAGTATGCTCCAAGATTGTGGTTCTGAAGACATAGACCTTATATGCTATCATCCTGACCACAGCTGATTGGACTAAGCCTACATATCTAACTGGAGGTGCCTGAGTAGGGTATGTTGTGAAGTAAGTAGATCTGAAGTTTCTGATTAAAGGTTGATCTTCTAGGGACAAGTCAGAACCTGAATAACATGTGGTTTTCATCTTCTGTCCACTGTTAGATCTGAACTTCATTAGCTGGTCCAGTCTTCAGTTAGTAAATAGGTTTACATTCCTTAATTATTTGGTTTAAAAAAAATCAGAAAAGGGGGCACCTGGGTGGCTCAGTCATTAAGCGTCCGCCTTCAGCTCAGCTCATGATCCCAGGGTCCTGGGATAGAGACCCGCATCGGGCTCCCTGCTCCGCGGGAAGCCCGCTTCTCCCTCTCCCACTCCCCCTGCTTGTGTTCCCCCCTCTCGCTGTGTTTCTCTCTGTCAAATAAATAAGTAAAATCTTTAAAAAGAATTTTAAAAAATCAGAAAAAAATAAATAGGAAGGAAGGGAGGGAGGAAAAAAGAAAAGAAAAGAAATCAGTGGCTCTTTAGAGCACTGATGAATTATAATATTTTTTTTAAAGATTTTATTTATTTGAGAGAGACAGAATGAGAGACAGAGAGCACGAGGGGAAGAGGGTCAGAGGGAGAAGCAGACCCCCTGCTGAGCAGGGAGCCCGATTTGGGACTCGATCCCGGGACTCCAGGATCATGACCTGAGCCGAAGGCAGTCCCTTAACCAACTGAGCCACCCAGGCGCCCCGAATTATAATATTTTAATTCAAATCTTTATTCAGATTAACTTAATACAGTCCTGGCCAACAGCATCTGGAACACCAGGCTCTGTTGCTAAGCCTGCTGGCAGAAAACAACTGTAGAATCTACCCAGATTGCATGGAAAAGCTGACAATTGTTAACCAGAATGTTTCTCTATCTATGAAACCACATGAGTGTCTCAGGAATTATCCGCCTTCCCTCATGCTTATTCTGTGTTGTGGAGACCACCAGTAATCCCAACGTAATGGCTTAGACACTCATCTGGGTAGCCGTGTACTTAATTCTGAGACTCTCCATTCCTATACAGTCATGTTCCATTCACTATTCACAATTTCTTGCTCTTTCCAAAAATGGGAAAGATTTCATGTACTTTTCTTTCTGATATGAGGAAAATGCAGTTCTAGCAATCCCTGAGTTTATGTGATGACTAGTCCCATCGGTCCAGGCCAGTCTACATTTTTGGTTGTGGCGTAGATATAAAGACTGCTCGATTCCAGCCAATCCGATGTTAATCCCTTCTTACCCTCCAGGGAGCATTTCTTAAGTAATTTAAAGAACTTTGTGTCTAATCCTCTCTCTGCCCCTCCTCTCAGCTCATGCTCACTCTCTCTCTCTCTCAAAAAATAAATTAAAAAAAAAAGAAAAGAAAGTACTTTGTGTCTATATTAAAATCAAATCTAGTTGTTCACTTTGCATAGGTGTTTTATAACATATCTTCCATTTAATGAAATTGCAAATTTCTGATAATGGTATTCTACTTGAAATATATTAGTTCCAAACCCTACCTTCTTTAGAAAATTTAATCCTGTCTCAATGTAACTTTTGCATTTGTGATTATCCTTTTTCTGATACAATAATCAGCATAGCAAATGCTGACCCGCATTTGTGCCCTATGCCATAACACAAGCCCGGAACATGGTGTTGAACATTTACATGCAGGTTGAAAAAGCACAGTTGCAACCCAAAGTGGAACTTCGTGGTTGTGGTATCGAGACAGGAGACAATATCCCGTAAAAAGTTAGATTCTTACGTACACACTAGAACACAGATGAAACTAGAGGACATTATGCAAAGGATATAAGTCATTCACAGAAGAATAAATACTGCATGATCCCACTTATATGAAGTATCTAAAGTCATCAAACCCATAGAAGCAGAGAGTAGAATGATGGTTGTTGACAAGGCCTGGGCAGGGAGATATGGGGAGTTGCCCAATGGGTATAAAGTCTCAACTATGCAAGCTAAATAATTCTAGAGATTGGCTGTACAACATTCTGCCTATCATTTACAATACTGTGTTATGTACTTTAAAATTGAAGAGGGCAGATCTCATATTAAGTGTTCTTAACACAATTTTTAAAAAATTCTTAAAGAAAAAAATTTATTTTTGGGTTTGACTCATGTTACAGAGGTATCTAACATTTATTTAGCAAATGGTAACTAATGAAGTTTGTTCTTTATGAATTTAAATATGAAGTAAGCATAAACTAGACATCACATAATCAATTTAGTTATCACTGGCATTACTTGTAATCTCTTTCCTACTATCCTTCCCTTGTTATGATAAAAAGCAACAAACATGCATACGGTCCCAAAACTGTATCTTTCTGAAATTTGTGGTTGTCTCCTCACAATAATTGCATATGTAAACCTTAAAAATACTGTTTTTAAGACATCAATCATAATTTAATTTTAACTAAAAACAGCTTTAGTAATCAGCATATAGCTTAATATTATGTACCTCATAATAAATAACAATAACTATAACAAAATCTAATTATAAATTTAATAAAATAAGTATATTTAGGTAATAGATAAACCAAGGAGAAGAAAAGGATTTTGATTTAGACATTGCCCTCTCTTTCTGTATTTTACTTGATTCCTGAGCAGAAAAACTGAATTAAGAAGCAGCCAGAAGGCATAGACGCAGAGTGGAAAAGCTCTTCTCTTTTTAGTAACTTTTGTGCCTGTTTTAAATTGATTATTTGTTTCATCAGCTAATCCCCAAGTAGAGGGCATGTCCTTTCCATTTGTAGGATTCTCTTACAGAAGTTGAATTCCCTCCTTATCACCTCAGGCTAGTAAGTATTTTCCTTTTGCTTGTTGTTAGGAAAAAGGAAAAAAAAAAAATGGCTCATACCATTTGCTGGAGCTGTCTGCATTTTAATCCAAGCCTATGAACAGACATCAGAGTGCCCTTATGATATTTTGCACAAAAGGCTCAGTGTTCATGGCTGTACTCAGAGAACCCAAAATAGCATTCTGCGAGCAGTGACATACGGGTGGTGTTGTACTAAGTGCACAATCGTCTCCAGCTCAGAGCAGTGTAGCCCATGTCCAGTCTGAGGAGAAGCCCGTGAAGAAAAGTAAGAACCATCTCTCCTCCCTTCCTCATGTGTTTGTCATGAATTTTGAATTTCAATTTTTGCAGAACTCCTAGAACTTGAAGATAACACAGGTAAGGATGTGATAATTAGGCATATTTGAATTATATAAATTGTCTCTTAATGAATATAGGGCCAAAAAGGACTTGAAAAGTGCTTTGCTAGTTTGTGTTTCATAAGGGAAAAAAAATTTTCTAAAAAATTTAAAATCACAATGTGTATATTGGACTTTCTCTAAAACAAATATTTTTGAGAACAATTGGCCATCTCTACAGTTCGGACTGAGAAAAATAAAAGTTGCTCATTCCAGAACATTTAAAATGTTAAATTTCTTGGGAGGAATGTATCACTACTGTTTCTTTCTTCCTCTAGGATTTTGTTTTTAACTTATCATGTATTTATCTCTGTACTATTGGATGCTATGAACAATAAAGTCACCTTAAAGAAACAAGAAAAATATAAAGTAAATATTTTAATATAATTAATTATTTACTTCTTAGGAAATGAATACTCAGTATGGAGCTTTCCGCATATCTGAATAAAATTCAATGTTTCTTTGAAGGACAGTCAATTCTCAAAGTTGACCTATAGTTATTTTATTTTCTTCCTCTTTGTCAGTTGTTTTGGCTATCGAACTTTTTGTTGACATTAGAAAAGCCTTAAAGCAAAAAAACTTAAGTAATTAAGACTATGATGATAATAATAATGAAAGTAAACAATTGGACAAATTATCAATACAGATACCTACATATTCAAACAATCCTTTCTTTCTAGCATTGTTTTTGACATCTCCCAGATTTGAGAAATGAGTTACTTTTGCCAAAAGTAACCAGAAAGACGACCAGAAAGATGTTTGACACTTTTTAAAAACCCATACTGTTAGAGTTTTCAACTTTCATCACCACTCACTAGAAAGAATCCACCTAAAATGCTCTAAAACCTGCCTTTTTACAACTTACAACAAATCAATTTCTTTTTGAAATGAGGCATGCCCTCTTGAAAATTCTGGTATGATTCAGTAAGGGCATTTGTGTCTCACTTTAAAAACCACTTTAGAATTAGTAAAACAGAAATGTTTTTGTCAGAAATTCATTGCATTAATTACTCAATAAAAGACATTCAGAGGGGCGCCTGGGTGGCTCAGTTGTTAAGCGTCTGCCTTCGGCTCAGGTCATGATCTCGGTGTCCTGGGATCAAGCCCCGCATCGGGCTCCCTGCTCAGCGGGGAGCCTGCTTCTCCCTCTGCCTGCTGCTCTCCCTGCTTGTGTGCATGCTCTCTCTCTCTCGCTCTCTCTCTCTCTGACAAATAAATAAAATATTAAAAAAAAAAGACATTCAGAATCATCAAAGAATGTTTTAAAATTAAAGCAAAACATATAATTGAGACTTTGCTTTGACATAGCAAGTCAAGTTAGAAATGTTAGTATCGGACAGTGACTTATCAACATACAGGATCAGTACATCTACATTTTATAAGAACTTACATGATAAATGAACTTGTAAATTTGTAGGGTAGTATATTAAAGTGGGAATAATTTTGGCACATCAATTATGGCTCAAAATAACCCAGGTAATTTTCTCTAAGTGCAAAATTTAGAAATGTTTTTTCTGTAGAAATGAGCAAATTATACATACATAAATCATAGAAAAGGAAAATGCCACCATTTTTTCTGTCTCTAAATTGGATTATAACTAAATTGTTTCCAGGAGTTTGCCACCTATTTTATTTTTTTAATCTCTAGTGGAGACTCTAGTGAAGGTTCTATGACATTTTTTTGCTAAAGAGATAATACTATGAAAATCAGAGAAACATAAAATGTAACTAGAACATTAACAAGAAAAGAGAAAAGGGTATAGATGCATCTTTCTATAAACTTTTTAATGGTATTGTTGTTTGTTATTAAGGAAATACTTCATGACAATGCTTGAAATTGCTTTTGAACTAGTAAAGCAAAATATAACCATTTCCTATAATATTGGATGAAAAATAAAGGGGCCATAACATTACTTTTCAGATGGATATAATTCTCCTCCTTCTCCTCCTTCATAATAAGGCTTTTGTCTTTGTGTCTATATAAGACATTGGTTTTTCTTTGGTTATTTTCTCTCTTTTATCCAGTGTCTGTAAAACATACCAATTCTAAAGGCGTATCAGGATTTGACTCCAAATTATTGGTTAATAATAAATGGACATATGTGACAATGGAATATTACTCAGCCATCAAACACAATGAAATCCTGCTATTTAAGATGACGTGGGTGGAGCTAGAGTATATTATTCTAAATGAAGCAAGTCAGTCAGAGAAAGACAAATACCATATGATTTCTCTCACATGGTGGCATTTAAGAAACAAAAGAGATGAATGTAGAGGAAGGGGAAAAAGAAAAAGAAAAAGAGAGGGAGGCAAGCCATAAGAGACTCTTCAGTAATAGAGAACAGTGTTGATGGAGGGAGGTGGGCCTGGGATGGGATAAATGGGTCATGGGTATTAAGGAGGGCACTTGTGATGAGCACTGGGTGTTATATGTAAGTGATGAATCACTAAATTCTACTCCTACTCCTGAAACAAACAACCAAACAAAATTAGGGCCAAATTTTTGACCCAGTAAACCTCTTTCCTGGGACTTTATCATACTTAAATAATCTAAAAGTAGATGAAGAAGAGTATCTAGAACAAAAGGATGATAAATGATTGAGTAAAATAATATGCTCTATATCACAATAAAATAATATATAGCCATTAAAAATGACTATCATAAAGACTATTAAAAATGGGTATATGTGTTTGCATGCACACACATATGTGTGTGTCTGTATTTGTCTATGGACAGATTTCAAAATATATATACATATATATATATCATTTGATAATTTCAAGACTACATAAATTATTAGTTAAAATTCTATGCCATTTTATTATTTTCTGTCCCTTCTATTTTTTTTAATTTTTTAAAGTTTCTATTTTAATTCCACTTAGTTAACATACAGTGTTATATTAGTTTCAGGTGTATAATACAGTAATTTAACACTTCCATACATTATCCCGTGCTCATCACAACTGCACTCCTTAATCCCCATCACCTATTTAACCCATCTCCACACCCACCTCCCCTTTGGTAACCATCAGTTTGTTCTCTATAGTTAAGAATTTGTTAAAAAAAAAAAAAAAGAAAAGAATCTGTTTCTTGGTTTGCCTCTCTTTTTTTTCCCCTTTGCTGGTTTGTTTTGTTTCTTAACAAAACCACATATGAGTGAAATCAAATGTTATTTGTCTGTCTCTGACTTATTCTGCTTAGCATAATATTCTCTAGCTCCATCCACATCATTGCAAATAGCAAAATTTCATTCTTTTTTTAAAGCTCAGTAATATTTCAGTGTGCATGTGTGTGTATCACATCTTCTTTATCCATCCAGTAAATGGACATGGGCTATTTCCATAGTTTGGTTATTGTAGATAATCTGCTATAAACATTGGGATGCATATATACCTTTGAATTGGTGTTTTTGTATTCTTTGGGTAAATATCTAGATGGGTTGTTCTATTTTTCGTCTTTTGAGGAACCTCCACTGTTCTCCAGAGTGGCTGTACCAGTTTGCATTCCCACAACGGTGCAAGAGGGTTCCCCTTACTCCACATCCTTGCCAACACCTGTTGTTTCTTGTGTTGTATGCCGTTTTATATAATGGATGACATATATAAAGTTACTTATATGAAATTTATATTTAAACTATTTTAAATATTTGAAGCAATGTTATTCAGTGTATGTGTGTATTAAACCAATGTTTAAAACACACAGCTCTTAAATCATAAGTATAATTTTTATGAGATTATGTGACATTGTATTCTAATTGAGCACTTGCATTGTAGGGAAAACAGGAACAAGCAATACACTTTTAACACTGTATATATGTAAGTTAAGTGTCCAAATTTTAGTAAATTATTAGCTGCTTTCTACATATTAAGAAACAAAATGATCTTAGGCTTGCTGGATTAAAAAAAATAACAGGGATTATTTAATATAAGAACATCATCTCTTCACAGAACATATTAACTCTTTCTACACATTGATAAATGGAGTGGCTCATAGTCCACATAATGTAAGTTCTAAGGGGAAAAAAAAGACATCTTTTCAGTCAATAATCAACTCATTCATTCATCAGATTATACTGAATGCTTTTACACTTAAGCACTGAAAGGAAACATGTTTGTCTTCTCTAGCATCAATTACAAAGGAATCAAAAACTTAAAGAATCTATCTCATCTTGCTTTTTAAATCCATTTGTACCTCGAATTAATTATACTCATGATGGTTTTCCTTCCTGAAATTTATATATATTTTTAACCCATCCCATCTCTTGGAGGTACACTTTTACTATTTTCTAGATTTACAAATGTATCTCTTTTAATTTTTCCTATATACATTTTATTTAGAATTAAAGTGATTTACTCAACTCTCTTATTTTGGGAATTTTAGAGTAGGAGTTTATTTACTCTGTAATCATGCCATTCATGTTAAAGGGATTTAAAAAAAATCTCCCTTGTGAGATGTTTCCAATATTATGTTTACTAAAGTACATTACTTGATCATTCTTTGTACATAGCTCATAGCATACAATCATAAAATGATATCCTTAAAATGTAAAATAGTTGTTTTTTTTTTTTTAAGATTTTATTTATTTATTTGAGACAGAGAGAATGAGAGAGACAGAGAGCACATGAGAGGGGAGAGGGTCAGAGGGAGAAGCAGACTCCCCACTGAGCAGGGAGCCCGATGCGGGACTTGATCCAGGGACTCCAGGATCATGACCTGAGCCGAAGGCAGTCGCTTAACCAACAGAGCCACCCAGGCATCCCGTAAAATAGTTGTTTTTAAACACTCTGCTAAACTAGTGCATCTGGTTTCAAATTTTGTCTTCAAAATATATTTTCATGGTCACATACTCTAAACAAATTCAACAGGATGAACTTTAAAAAAAATGTAGACTAGTCAAAAAAAATGTGGGCTAGTCACTAAGTTATTTTAACTTATATTCAGAAAACAAAAACATAAAACAAATGATATAGAATTTTTG